AAGATATACAAATTCGTTTACTAGATGACACTTTCTAGGCGCATGTACAACAAATTCGTGACTTTCTAGATCCCATTGTGTCAAAAATGGCAAGGACTACTAAATCCTTGTTCTAAAGGAAGCAGTTTGTCACCGTCGGAGGAAATAGACGCAATGGAGTTTATACATAATCTATCCCAGTTAATGCACTTTGATGTAATGACAGATTATAAATCAAATGATGGATTGTGGGCAAAAAGATTCTTGTGGACCAGTGTAGTAAATATGAATCCAATTGCATGTGTAGCAACTCCAATCTGAGTAAGGTTGCTGTTAGGATTCCAGTGTCTTCAGCGGCCACAGAACGGACATTCAGTACATTTTTGTGGATACATAGCAAGAAAAGGAATAGCCTGGAAACAGAGAGGGCTGCAAAAATTGCTTTTATTCGTTCCGGTATGTTTCAACCGCCAGCCTTTGCCATCATATAATTGGTCTTTGTAAAATTTATTCATTTAATCCATTCGATCTTGTAAATCCTGTATCTCTTACTACCTTTTCCAGGACAATGTTAAAAAGCAGACATGGCATCCCTTCGTCGCTTTCAATGTTTTTAGATAGATCTCCTAATATTCTGACTTTACAAGAAACTTTCGTCAGAATTAAACCTATCATTGCTACCAGATGACCTTAGTATGGTCGGATGTGCAGCCGAAGTCCACGAAAATATGATGTTTTTCTGCATTATACTCCGTACACTTCTCCAGTATTTGTCGTAATGCAAAGATATGGTTGATGATAAAATAAAAATAGTTAATGCATATATGTCGGGAAAGTGTAGGAATGAATTAAAAAAAGAATTTGAGGTTCAACAGAAGCAAATAAACTTTTAGATGAATCATCAGAATTTCCAATTTTGGAAGATTGCTTAACAAAATGGATAGACCAGTGTAACTCACAAAATATATCTATAAATGGAAACAATTTAAAAGAAAAGGCATTAAATTTTGCAAAAAAAATTAAATCTTCAAGTTTTTCTTGCCAGTAATGGTTGGAGAGAAGGTTATAAAAAGAGGAAAGATTTAACATTTAAAAAATGTGGTTTTAATTAATCTGTTAATAACACGGTGTGTAATGTGTCTCAATTATTGTATGGGAGCTGAAGGAGCAAAAGAGCTCATCAAGAATAACAAAAGTTCTTATCCATATCCTATTGAAAACATCCCTGAAATCACTCATCTTCAAGTTGTTCGATTTTTTCATTAGCATGACTTCTCTGGCTACCTTATATCCTAGATATAAGTCTCTATTCTCAGAGACGCCATCACTAATACCATTTCTGCATGCAACAATTGTTAAATTTTTTTTAGGCTCAACTGCAGTTAGACGCACTCTATTTACATCTCTCCTTGCTAGAACACCTTGCTGATGATGAGTTTTGTGAAATGATCATTAAATATGAATCTGTTTAATTTCATAGTCTTGCCAGAATTCATTTTTTGGACTTTTTTTGCACTTACCAGTGATCCGCAGATCTATGACATATTCAAAGCGAACATTAAATTTCTGTCCAGACTTTTATACCATAAAATTGAACATTAAATTGTATCTTATAAGAGTCGTAGATAACTTAAAATCGTATATGTAAACCATTAACGACAGAATGGCGTTAGAGGATGTGTTTTGGCAAATTACTAATAACAAATTACTGTAGTGCATTACCAACATCTGGTGTTTTTATGAAAATTTAGACTGCTGGCGTTAAAGATCCCTCTTTCTTCAGCATTCTAAGTGAACAACTAGTTCAGGAGAAAGANGATGATTCTCTCTGTTTTAACTAATTCTATTTATGTTATTTATCCATCTTCTTGGGAGTCTGTCCATACTGCGCTTTGCTATTCTTGGCCGTCACCACGTTACTCTCATTGTCCATCTAGCGTTGTTTAGCCCAGTGTTCCGCAAAGTGTGAAACTTCGGTAGCTCAAAAAGACGAAACATTTTTTTCAACGTTTGAAACACCAGTCTAAGAAACAGGAAACTTTCATGAATTTGTCTTTCAAAACATCAGACAAAGCGATTAATGATAATTCTTGCGACATTGAATCAATGTTAAGTGAAAAAAATGTGAGGTACACTGACGAAAATGAAATAAAAGAAGACTTTTATTTTGTCTGCCACTACCCTGTTCTACTACTAGAGAAGAAATATTCCAAATAACAGACCAGTACTTCAGTGAGCATAATTTGGAATGGCATAACAGCATAAGCATTTGCAAAGAGATTGTCAAAATTGTCAATTACATAAAATCACGAGCTCCGAATTCTCGTCTGTTTAACGCAGTGTGTCAGGAAATGGGAGCAGATCACCAGTCACTTCTGTTTCATACAGAAGTATGATGGCTTCTCGCGAAAAAGTGCTTTCTAGGATTTACGAATTAAAAAATCCTAAGAGACCTAAGGATCAGATTTTGCTTCTTTGTTTAAAAACCAATGGTAGTAATGAAATGTTTCCAAATATCATGGCTGCCGATTCAGAACAAAAGGTGCAGGCTTTGATAGTGAAACACTAGGAGTTATTAGCAGAAAAAATGAAGTTATTTTCCTAAGTGTGACCTGCAACCTATGGACTGGGTGCGAAATCCATTCTCACATAGCCCTTGGACACTTTTTTCTTTGGTGTACCTCTACAATTTCTTGTTTTGATAGGTGTACCTTGAACACAGGTTTTGCCCACCCTTTGACACTTTAATTCTTCATGACGCCAGTTCCCCATCTGGCATCATGCTCCGTCATGCTTGAATGCTTTCTGCATGACCTTCAACAGATTTGCATTTTTTTCGTCATAGCCATGATTTTCAGTCCATAGATTGTCACTGGTGGATTTATTAAGTCATCTCATTATTTTAATTCCTAGAATCTACAATTACTTTTTGTTCATCATTGTAGTCTATCCTATACATAACTAACATAATTCAACTACCAATTTAGTTTCAATTCGCGACACTGAATTAAAGTCCCTAGATTTACAAAGTACCGCAGTTTGTCGCCATTTTGGCTCGAAAGTCAAGCGGGAAATTTAAAACTATGTCGTTCTATTGATAACATTACGCCAAAACTCCTTTCTTTTTCTCGTGCTACTCTGAAGTGTCGAAAGCCCTTCTTACTGCTATTTTTGCAACTCCATAGACAACAAGACGGCAATATTTTTATAAATAAGTGATGAGATGCAGTGACAAGTTGTCAAACCGCCATTTTGGCTTGAAAATAGGCTTCATGAACCGCGGTACTTTGTAAATCTAGGGACTTTACACCGAATGAGTTAAAAACGCCATCTTTTGATAAATTTTAAAACCTTTACATTACAAAACACCATCTTGTGAGAAATATTAAAATCAATTTGATTTTAATNAGCATTCTAAGTGAACAACTAGTTCAGGAGAAAGACCTCTTTCATATATTTTCATGATTCTCTGTGGGTCATCTCAAACCATCTGTTTTAAGTAATTCTATTTATGTTGTCTATCCATCTTTTTGGGAGTTCGTCCATACTGCGCTTTGCTATTCTTGGCATCTAGCGTTGTCTAGCCCAATGTTCCGCGGCATACTGGTAAAATGTCAAGTTTTATCAGAAAGTTATGGTGTTAATACACTTATACATAATAAATGAGAGTCGATGTAGAAAAAACCTAAGCTCATTAATCGAAAATATGATGAGAGCTATGTAAGTTATGGCTTTATATATTGCGGAGACAAATCATGCCATCAATGTCTTGTTTGTGGAAAAACTTCGGTAGCTCAAAAAGACAAAGCCTCTCACGAGTTTGTCTTTCAAAACATCAGACATAGCGCAAAAAGCAAGCTAATATGCCAGTTAAATCTAAGAAGTCTCATTCTCTCGCTGAAACTTTAATTTTACCTATTTGCAAAGAAGTTGCCAAGGTTATGATTAGCCAAGTAAGGAAATCGAAAAAATACCTGCATCAGCAGATACGATCTTACATCGCATTAATGACATTTCTTGCGACATTGAATCAACGTCAAGTGAAAAATTAAGGCTTAGTGGAGTTTTTGCGCATCTCATCTCAAATGTGAGGGCCACTGACGAATATGAAATATAGAGGACTTTTTATTTTGTCTGCCACTACCCAGTTCTAGATGGAGAAGAAATATTCCAAGTAACAGACCAATACTTACAATGAGTATAATTTGGAATGGCACAAATGCATAAGCATTTATGCAAAAGTTGTCAAAATTGTCAAGTACATAAAATCGCGACCTCTGAACTCTCGTCTGTTTAATGCAATGTGTCAGAAAATGGATTTCTCGCGAAAAGTACTTTTTAGGATTTACGAACTAAGAAATAAAACTCAGGTGTTTTTAGAGACCTAAGGATCAGATTTTGCTTCTCTGTTTAAAAGCAATGGCAGTAATGAAACGTCATGGCTGCCAATTCAGAAAAAAAAGGTGCAGGCTTTGATAGTGAAACACTTGGAGTTATTAGCAGAAAAAATTAAGTTATTTTTCTAAGTGTGACCCTTGAACCCTTGTACCTCTACAATTTCTTGATTTAGTAGGTGTACCTTGAACACAAAAAGGTTGCTGAAGAGTGGTTTAGCCCACCCTTTGCCACTTTAATTAATGCTTAATGCTTTTTGCATGACCTTTAACAGATTTGCACTTTTTTCGTCATAGCCATGATTTTTAATCCACTGGTGGATTTATTAAGGCATCTCATTATTTTAAATCCTAGAATATACAATTACTTTTTGTCCATCATAGCAGACTATCCTATATATAACAAATTCAACCACCAATTTAGTTTCAATTCGCGACACCGAGTTCATAAGCACTATTAAAAAATGTATTAGCAGTGAATGGGTTAAAAGCGCCATCTTTTGATACATTTTAAAATCTTTACATTACAAAGCACCATCTTGTGAGAAATATTAAAATCAATTTGATTTTAATTCTTTTTTTTGTACTTTTCTATATAATTATGATTAAAAAATAATAAAAATTTACCATTGGAAGTATAATTTGATCACATGTCGACACTAAAGTCGCATTTATCACGTTGCTAAGTGGCCCACATTGACCTATTTCCGATTTCAGGTTATAAACGACGCGATCTACATATCCATCCACTTGGTTCTTAATTGCAATCGTAAAATTGGTCGCAATCTAAAAAAATAAAACGTTAATACTCCCCAAAACAAAAATAAATTAATAAACCTTACATCTTTTAATAAATGAGTTCCGTTTTCGCGCAAAACCTTTTCAGCTTCTTTAACTTCACCAATTAAACCATTTATGGCGTCGCTAAAAGTAAGGTGTCCGAATTTTAGGTTAATTTCCATATTTTTAGCGATGTCGATTAATTTTTCGGCATTTTCAGTCATTGGATCAACCAATTTTACTTGATAAGTCTCTAAATGCATTTTACTATTTTTTAATTGATTCTGTATGCTGTCTTGTATTCGATGCCTTTCAACAGCTTGAATAGCAGCATCTAATTGTTCGATTAAAAATTTTAAATCCACCGTCGTTAAATTATGATCAAGCTAAAAATTTTTTAATAAAATTTAATCAAATTAAATCAAATTATTTTATTACCTCATCAACGAATTTCCCAAAATTAATATCTCCAACTTTAGAGGCTGCCAAATTTTCCAAATTTTGTTTACCAGCTTCTGATAAGATCTTAATCTCAACGTTAACGTCGATATCGTTTTGTAATTTGTCCAAAACTTCGTTAATGTTGTAATCATTAAAATTTTGGGTGATTTTGTCCAAATCAAAGTGCGAGTCTAACCGGAAAACGTTATAAACGGTCTCGTTTTGATGGCAATTACTCAAAACGTGTTTTATCGATAATTTATCGTAATCCATGTATTCGTCGATCATATCGATAACTTTGCTTTCGTTGTAATTTCTTAAAGAGTCGCACGCTAATCTTTGGCCGAAAACGCCAAAAACGAAGCAAACGATCGTAACAACGGCCAAAACGATCGTTGTTAAAAACATAATAGCAACTCCGCACATTAAACAGCGACTCCCAACGCTTTTATTACAACAATCGTCGTTGTAATGATCCGGTTTTTTCCCGCAAATTCCGCAAACTAATCCGAAAGCAACTAAAAGTGCGACAACTAAAAGAACACAACTTATTCCAATTCCGACATAATAACCATATGGGAGATAATCTCGAATGTATTTATCAGCTTGGGTTAATGGACCATTCGTATTTTTATGGATTGAATCTGAAATTTCGTTTAACATGGAAGTCATATTTGATACGCTATTTGTTATTTGAGCCCCCGCTTGAGTTACGGTGTTTTTTACGTCTTGTAAGCTTTTATCAACTTTTTTACTTATCTCTTTTTCTATTTGTTCTAAATGCGATTTTCCATCTTCAATACTTTCGACGATATTTCCTTGCAAGATGCTGTTTAAATCTTGCATTCCTTCCGTTACGTCTGGTAACTACAAATAAAAATTATAATTTAAATTTATTCTTTTAAAGCAACTTTTTTAATTTAATCCTCGAAAATTTGTTACCTTAGGAAAATATCTATCTAAGTACTGCATGTAAATAAATTAGATTTTTAATAATTCGAGTTGATTTAGGATTAATTTATACTTACACTATTAAAATCCACGTCCATTTCTAATTTGTTAATGTTTTCTGATAAATTGGAGCATTCGTTACTTTGATAACATTGGGTTAAAGCGTGGATTAAGTCCCGTTTAACTTTTCGTAACGCTAAAATTTGATTTATTAATTATTTAAATTAATTTGTATTAAATTTTTTACCATCGCTTAATTGTGACGCATGATTCCTTAAGAAAAACGTGATCGTTTTCATTTCAGTTAAATTACTTTGGATGTCCTTTAAACCCTCAACAATCGAAGAAACTTGAGTCATCGCGACGGCATTTGAATATTTCGCAAGTTGGTCATAAACGATTGAACTACTTTCTAAAAATTACATCAAATTAAAAGTATAAAAAAATGTATTTTAAAAAATTACTTACTATCTAAAATTTCAAATAAATCATCTTTAAACTCTCCATAATTCTTATTTAACAAAATTTGCACTTCTTTTCCCGTCGTATTTAAATAAGTATCAACATCTTGTAATCCAGTTCTTACATTTGTAACTAAATCATTTCCACCATCTCGCATATGTTGGGTTGTTACGAACGAACAAACCACTCCAAATCTTAAAATAAATGTTTTGTGAGTATTTGAAAATTATGTTAGAGATCTCAGGTTATTATAATTAAAAACTTCTCATTTTGTGGATGAATACTTTTTTAACTTTATAAAGGGAATGAAACATTTCTTAGTAAAGTGCTAACTCAAATATTAAAACCAATGAAATGAACTATTTTATTAGACATATCAGACCGCAGTGTAAGAAGAATCCTGCATTTTGATTAGAAATTTCAACTAAATGTTGTTTTGGATCCGGACGAAGTTGATGTTGCACATCGTTTGAAAACTAACAAAAATACTACGCCCCTTATTATAGCCCAATTTACTAGAAGATCATCTAGGGATGCGTTACTTGCTAAAAAGAAACTAGTCGTGACTAATGCTTTCTATCCAGGCCTGAAAATTGGTGAGTCTATTTTTCTAAATGAACATCTTACACCTCTAAACAACAAGCTGCTAATGCTGGCCAAGAAAACAGCGCGTGTCAATGGCTTCAAGTTTGTATGGTTCAGGAATAAAGTTATGGTCAGGAAGGATGAAAATTCTCCAGCGCTTTCAATTGATACTGAACAGGACCTCTTGAAAAAGGTCGGTCAGTCCTCAATTTGATTGTTGATGTTTCTGTTAGATTTTCTTTGTAATGGTTTTTTAGTTTTTAATGGATATTGAACAAGACACTGTTTATGAGAATGTGAATTGTGACACGTTTGATAGTTTTGTAGGCCGAATAAGCGACTTTTCCACATGTGGAAAATGTCTTCGCATTTTGTCTTTAAATATTAGAAGTTTGAACGCACACCTCAATGAATTGGAGTTTTTGATAGGTTCCATTAAATTTCAATTAGATGTAATTGTTCTGACTGAGACTTGGCAGCTGGCGCATGTGAGTGAGATAAGCTTTAATAATTATAAGACATATTATAACAATAGTAATTTCAATAAAAATGATGGCGTGGTTATTCTCGTGAACGAATTTATTGATCACGAGTCCCACTGCGTTGATGTTAGTGGATTCAAATTTCTGCGTATTGACTTTAACTTGGGTTTGAGTCGGTTTGGTGTCACGAGAATTTATAAATCACCTTCATTTAACCCTAATACCTTTATTGACAACTTAAATTTATACATTAAATCCTTCTGCACTAGAGATAGATACCTGCTCTCTATTTGGATGTAACGGCCGCTGCTGGCTTTGAGCCTTATATCCGTGATTATACTAAAATTTTTAATAATAGTAAAAGTTGTTTGGATCACATCTTTGTTAAAACTTCTCTCCCGCGGGAAAATTTGCTATCAATAATATCGCATTCAAAAATTACTGACAACTGTCCTGTGTTTTTACAGCTGAATTTCCCTGATAGTTGTGATAGTAATCAGAATATTGAAACTAATAGGTACAGGAACATAATTAATTATAACAAGTTTATTAGCACTATGGGTTCACAAGATTTCGCAAATCTTCCTTTGAATATTGATGATGCAATTAAATTTATATGTGACAAAATAACTAATCACAGGGACGGTGCTTCTTTCAGAAAGAGAATTCCTGCCAAAAACAGGAAGCGTAGGCCTTGGATTACGGACGGAGTGATAAGATCTATAAATGTTAGGGATACCTTGTATAAACAGTACAGATTGGATGATAGAAACAACCAGATTAAAACAGCATATAAGCAATATAATACTATGTTAAAAAAAATCATTAACAGTTTGAAGTATGATTATTATACTCGAAAAATTTGTAAACTGAAAAATGATACCAGACGGCTATGGAATTGTGGCAAGGAATTAACTGGTAAAAATAAATTACGATACTAAGATATATGACGAATTGGGTATTGCGAGTGAGTTTAATATGTACAGGGTGTCCAAATTTCGATGGGTTTGCAGGGTATCTCAGTTATTATGAAAGATTTTTTTTTGTGAAACTTACACGGGGGGAGTCTGAAAATCGTAAATCTCGGCTATCCGGAAACTTAGTAAAAAAGTAAAAACGGGTTCTAATAGATTTTTTCACGTAGAATCCAATGATGCACGTAGAATTTTGCTAGACATCACGGTTTTTGAGTTATAAACACAACTTAGGTTTTTTTAAATGGAACCACCTATATTTTATTTTTTTATTGAATACTTACCTTTATAATTAACCTCGAAATTTAAAAAACCACATTATTTTATAAGTAGGCTATGATAAATTAAGTGATCGCGTTGCTAGGATACCAGAATAAACAAAGAATTTTGAAAATACTAT